CCAGCCAGCCATGCTGGCTGGGGAATTCTGGGAGTTGAAGTCCACATGTCTTCAAGTTGCCAAGTTTGAAAAACACTGCTTTAGACTCAGTCTTCTATAGATCAGCCTTCCAGATATACAGGATTAGGCTACAGCCTCTAAACTATGCTAACTAGGAATCTGGGACCTGTAATCAAGTACATTGGAAAGCCAAAAGGTTAGGAAAGGTGGATAAAATCTCTAGTGGAGAATTCCACAATTATGGGAAACCATTTGAAGAAAACCAGAAAGCTACTAAAATGATTAGGAGACGTCACACTTTCTCTAGAAAGCAAGACATCGTCAGATTTCAGTGGCCTCCAGTGATTTGGAACCTCAGCCTGAGAACACAGATTAAGTCAAATAAAACTAGACTAATTCATCAAAGCCTTTTTTTTAAAAGTATGTGATAAAGAGCTTTTACTTCAATAATCCAGCTGCATTCAACTAAGGGATTCCCCAACATTTAAAAAATGGCGCATAACCCAACATGCACAGAAATCTATTTACACAAGGGTTCCTTGAATGAACTCTTTTTTTTTTTAATTGAATTGAACCCATGGAGTATACTACAGTCTCCAAATATATATTTTTTTGTCTGTATCCTTCTGTATTCCAAAGTACAGAGTTCTTATTTTTTCAACATCCACCCAGAGGGCATCGCCCACAGCATGTCAACAGCATACCTCCATTTTGGTACAGTTCTGGTACCCAACCATCAACATTTGTTTTCCATAGTCAATTTGATAATCACAGTCTTCCATTTCTTCCCCGTTCCTATCTAAAGAAAAACCATACAATGGGTGAGACACAACCCCTTCCTAAAACTGAGTAGCAGTTAATTCAAACAGAAGAGACAAAATAGTGGAAGAAACATCAGACGTACCAAGAATTTCTATACTCCAGGAACTGAAGTTGGCAAGCTCCTTTGGAAGCCAGACTCGCCACTGATCATCATGGCAAGACATTGTACCTGTAATAAAATATTTGACAATCTTTCCTTTAAATCCTTCGTACAGAAAATTGTTCAAGCTAGGACAACAGAGTTTGATCTTTTTGACATAATTGTTGTACATAACTGTACATAGTTTGACGTTAACTGTTGTACTTTGCCCAAAGTTGCTTTGTGAGAGATGAGCGGCTATATAAATGTGATATATAAATAAGTAAAAATCTTTACCCACAGTAAAATCTCATTAGCTAATCCACATAACACATTTATCCATTGGGCATCTTTGGTTCATTGCTTACCCATGTCAAGTAAAGCTAGCTGTAGTGGTTTATTCCATAAACCATGGTTAATCCATGGATTGGCCCTGAACAAAAACCCAGCCTTTGGGTTTCTGGTACTTCTGGCCAAATGCCAACAAGCACCATTTGAAATTCACACACCAGGGAAAGCTGCTAAGTCACGTAAGTTCATCTTATGTCTCTTTTTTCTTTTTTAAAGAAGGTAAAAATAAATCTTGGCAAAAGTTTCAGATCTTCCAGCTGTCTGTATAAGGCAGGATCAAGTGAGCAGGAATCAATCTGGAGTCCACTGGAGTTGGGCAGCCAATATATTTAAGTAAATAGTAATTATTATAAAACACCAGGGACTAGTGACTCTCCCAGTATTATTAACTCTCAGTATCACCATTTGCCATATTAAGTGGAAATGCTGGAGCCCCAGAAAAAAAAAAAAAACAGTTAAGCAGCTTCTTCTGGATAAACCAAGACAACCTCCACAATGAAGCTTTCCAGCTGTCTTGGACTACAACTCCCAGAATTCCTAGCCACCAATCCTTGCCTACATGTGTACCAGCCTCATAAATATACTTGCATGAGTAGGGATGCACAGTTTGGGCATATTCAACTCCCACACTGTTTTTCCCAGCTGGGCCAATTTGCAGGAGTCCATAACACAAGCCATCTTCACATCAGCTCCAGAAGAGCAACCGATCACCAGTAGCCCAAATCCATTTGAAGCAGCAAGCCTGCCTCTTAGTTTCTCCTATTCTCTGGCATTGCTCTACACAACCTGGGATACAGTCTTTCTTGCCCATTTTAGATGCTTTCTCCTTGCTGGCCTGCAGAAGTCCTCTACGGTGGGTTTTTCATGGACAGATGTTGCATCACTCACCCAGGTAACCTTCAGGACTTGGATCCTGGAGAACACTGTCGTAGAACTAACTAACAAACTTCATTTTTCCAAGATCAAAGCACTGAAGATGTTGCTCAGGCAGATAATGAAACACAAAAACACAGTTCAGAGAACTTCTCCACCCCCATGTTTCATCCATGAGCTACTATTTCTGCTCCGTATTCTCTACTTGGCTCAAAGAATTGACCTGAAGAGGAACCCCAGGTGATAATGTTGGTGATCATTTTAAGGGCCCAGAGCAAGATAGCAGAGGGAACATCATGGGCCAGATTGACACCACACTAAGCCATGGCTAGTTGAATCACAGTTTACTCTCTAAACTTCAACTATTGCATTTAAACAGGCTAAGCTTTAATCTCTGGTTTACAACTACAGCAGTTGGATGCACACCCACACTACTCCAAAACCAAACCAACAGTGGGACTTTAAGACAAACTGACAATGTAGCCCATCTCTGTCACACCCTACAACTGGATTGCAAGAAGAGATTATCACCATCTGCATTCACCCAATTCACCAAACCAGGTTAACATCACCAAGGCTAAGTTTCCACCCCATACTAAGCCAAGAAGGAGACAACACCGTGGCCTAGCAGCCTAGCTTCATCCAAGGCCCCCAGAGGAAATGGAGTTTGTTCAGTTTGGGATTAGCCATGGTTTATAAACCAGAATTGATGGTTTGGCACATTGTTTTGAGTGCCTGCCCATCAAAACCAGAGCATGGTGAAGAACCTGGGCTGGAAGGACAAACCCAGTTTGTTCCCAATACATCCCGGAGGAAGAGCAAGATACATCCCAGAATATCCTCTCCCAACCCAACAGAAAATCCTGTTACCTGGGAAATCGAGAGCCACGGAGGTAAAAATGCTGCTCAGAAAACAGCCAAAGAAGACGAGAAGCCTGAAGCAGAAAGCAAAGGAAAAATAAGCTCAGCTCGACCGCATTCATACGGCAGCCCCGTCCTTTCCCACTCCTAAAAAAATCGATAAGACTTTACCACGCATTGCAACGCGCCCAACCGACACGCACCCCCATCCTACCCGCCCGACGCAAACCAGACTATGCAAGTTTAGCCTGGCGACTTCGTGGTCCGATTTTTTTTTATAACCTCACGTGCTCGCAGCGCGCGTGTGCAACGCCGGTCCCAGCCCGGGAACGTTCGCACGTTCTCCGATTACGGCTGGGCTGGGGGACTCCCCGCACCCGGGCGGGCTTCTTCCTCTCTCTTTCCTCTCTCTCTCTCTTTCCGCTCTCTCTCTTTCTTCTCTTTCTCCTCTCTCTCTCCTCTCCTTCTTCTCTTTCTCTTTTTCTTCTCTCTCTCTTTTTTTCCTCTCTCTCTCTCTCTCCCTTTCTCTTCTCTGTCTTTTTCCTCTCTCTCTCCTCCTTTTTCTTCTCTCTCTCTCTTTCCTCTCTCTCTCTTTCCTCTTTCTTCTCTTTCTCTTTTTTCTCTCTCTCTCCTCTCCCTCTCTTTCTTCTCTCTCTTTCCTCTCTCTCTCTTTTCTCTCTCTCTTTCTCTCTCTCTCGCATTCCGGATCCTGTGCACAGGATCGGGGTACCTGCCACTGCTTGGCAAGCGCGCCACTCCGATCCTCAGCCACGCTTGCCCCGTTCACGTTTCAGTGGGAGCCCTTCGAACCGCACGCCAAGAGCCGGGGCCGCCCCGTTCCCGGGCGTGGACCGAGCGCGATCCACCGGCGGCTCGCCACCCCGCTGGAGAAACGGGCCGGTGTGAAGACCCCGCGGAGGGCGACTTCCCTGATTCGGGAGGCTCGCAGAGAGTCGACCGACTTACTCGCGAGGAATCGTGCGGAGGAGCGGGGCTGCCATCGGCGTTCGCCCTTTCAACCGGGGCCGCTCCATCGAGCGAGGGTTAAAGGCTTTACGGATCGCGTTTTCTTGTGTCTCAGTTTCAGTCCTAAAATGGGCATCCTCTTTCGCTCACCTGTTCTCGGTGATGCAACGGAAAAAAGATTATGAACATTAAAAAGAAAAAAAAGCAAACTCCTTTTTCCGTGCCATAACTAGCAGAGTGTTTTTCAAGCTTGGCGACTTTAAGATATCTGGACTTCAACTCCCAGAATCCCAGCAAACCATGGTTTAGGGCAGAGTGTCTCAACCTTGGCCCCTTGAAGACGTGTGGACTTCAACTCCCAGAATTCCTCAGCCAGCCATGCTGGCTGGGGAATTCTGGGAGTTGAAGTCCTCACGTCTTCAAGCAGCCAAGGTTGAGAAACACTGCTGCTTGAAGACGTGAGGACTTCAACTCCCAGAATTCCTCAGCCAGCCATGCTGGCTGGGGAATTCTGGGAGTTGAAGTCCTCACGTCTTCAAGCAGCCAAGGTTGAGAAACACTGGTTTGGGGACATCTAAGTGAGAATCAAATGAATGGTAACGTGGCTTTGCAAAGAAGAAAGAACGTCCAGGCTAATCTCGGGCTGCCATTCAGCATCTCAGCCATTGGAGAGTGACAAGATCCAGCCCCGGGGAAGAGCTTGGAAGGACACAGCTGACGTTCACCAGCCCTTTTGGGGGTGGCGAAGACAGGTTATGGGAGCAGGAAGCCCCCTTGCGTCCTTCCAACGGCTGAGCAAGAGGGCCTGGCCCAAGGCCACCCAGCTGGCTTCGTACCTAAGGCAGGACTAGAACTCACCATTTCCTGGTTTCTGGCTCTCATAGGCCATGTAATACTGCTAGTCAAGTTCTCAAAGGCACACCCCCCTTAATTAAAAAAAAAAAAAGCCAAGGCTGTTTTTCAACTGCCCTGCTCCCTGGAGTATGAAATGTCTATGCAAACAGATTGCAGGGAATAACCTTTGCTTCCTCGTCACTGCCGTGTCATCAAAGAGTCCGGTGTAGTGCGATTAAGCACCGGCCATGGGGGAAGCGTGGGGCTGAGCGGGCGGATCGGGCCTCAGCCGCAGGGAGGGAGGAAAATGTCAACTCGCTTCCACCAAGCAGCGGCGGACGGCAACCTCGAACTCCTCAAAGAAGGCACCCGAAAAGACCTGAACACGGCTGACGCTGACGGGGTGACCCCCACGCTGCTGGTGGCCTATCACGGCAACGTCGAAGCTCTGGAAATCGCTTGCAGACGGGGGTGAGTGGGGCAGGCTTTTAGTCTCCCATCCCAAATATGCTTTGGGGACGAAGAGGAACGCGTCCTAATGAACCTAGTTAGCTTTCTGGTTTGGGAGCTGCTCTGAGATGAGTGGGAAGGCAGGAGGATGGGGCAGAGATGTTAAGGCTGAGCACGCATCCAGGGTTTGCTGCTCAAAGCAGCTACCGTTGGCTGGGTTCATCCAACGGGCTCAATCCCACATTGTGGTTTCCGGGCAGGATCTGCAGGACTAGCTAAACCCAAATTAAACCTATTGCTCAGTGGTTTAAGGGGTTGCGTGAACTGGGGGAAAAGCAGAGCTGTCTCAGCCAGGAGCTGGAAACCTGAACTCCAGGTTCTCCTTCGCATCCAGGTGTTTGCACCCGATGCAGGCAGGCAAGCCTTCTCACGTGCGTCGAAGGTCGTTTGCAAGGATGTGCGTAAGAGTCTGGGATTAGAAGGCCTTCGGGTATCTGTGGAAAGAAGGCATGGTTAAAAGGTGACAACTCCCCCGAATGGAAACAGGAAACGCCACCATTACCAGCTGGCTTTTAGACATGGTGTGCTTTTATTATCTGTCGTATGCCACAGCTAATAAATGTGACCTTCAAACAGTTCAGTTGCTTTGCAGCCGCATTATACCTGGCGCTGGGCAGAGAAACTCCCAAGTCACCTCCCTCCAATGCTCACTCATTTGTGGAAATGCAGCTTCCTCCAGAAATCTTCTTCAGAGAATTGGATTGAATTTGGGTGCCATTCTCATAGGGATGTGGGCATGCATTGTTTTCTTGCAGCTCTCTAGCGCCCGAGTTGTGTGCATGTGAAGGCTGTTCCATGGCACACTCAATGGTCTCTCTGCCAATCTCTCTTGCTACACGTCCATCCACTTGTAAGAGATCAGGAGGCAGCTCTTCCAATGGGACTCTTTCTTAAGCCAGAGAAGGTTCAGAGCGTTGGCCAGATGATGTAGAACACAGAACACAAAAAGCAGCAGGAGGATCCTCAGCTGCTTTGGACAAGAAAACTCAAAAATGCACCCTAGAGAAATTTGGAAGAAGCTCTCAAGCTCCCTGAGAATAAGGTAGAAAACCAGATTTAAAATTCAAAAGACAAGACCTGCATAGGCTTTAAGCTGTCTCTTGAGTTTAGAAAACAACACGTTGGAAAGTTATACTTTTTTGTCACTGCTCTTTTGCAGACAATAAATGTGATGCAAGGACCCCCCTTCCCCTTGCACTGAAACCCCAGCACTGAAAAATGTAGCATATCAGGGAACATGTTAGGCTGGAATTGTCTTCTTGAGATGCTAGTAGTTTTACTTGCAGGGGAAAATGGCAAGACTATCCATTTGTACCACATCAGCTTCTGTCCCCCTTATAATTGTTGCAAACTGGGCTTTGTACCACCATCCCCAACCTGGTGCCCTGCACTTGTGTTGCCCTTATAGCTCCTATAACCTCCAGCCAAGTAGCCTGGGGATTATGGGAGTTGGAGTCCAGTACATCTGGAGGATTCCTGATTGGAAAAGGTTGCTCTAAAGGAAGATGATTGGGACCTGAGTTCTTTGTGTCGTGTCCTTCCAGAGGTGATCCAAACAAATGCGACATTTGGGGAAACACGCCGCTACACCATGCCGCCTCGAATGGCCACACCTCTTGCGTCTCCTTCCTGATCAATTTTGGCGCCAATATTTTCGCCCTCGATAACGACATGCGCTCGCCCCTCGACGCAGCTGCCAGTCGGAGCCAGTACGAGTGCGTCCAGATGCTTGACAAGGCAGCCACCGAGCAGAACATCAAAAATCCCAAACGGGTCGCCTGTCTGAAGACTCAGGCCCAACGCGACGTGCAGCGACAAATCCGCGTGTGTGAGAAGCGCCAGGACAAGCACCAGCTCGAGATGACCAAGCACTTCAACAAAGGTTCCGTCCACTCCAGCCACAGCACTGCCACCAAGACCAAAGTGTCTCAGTTCTTCGCGGGGGGCTCGCTCAGCACCGTCCCCCAACAGCTGAAGGACACCTTCAAACTGAAGATGAGGAAGAAAGAGGAGGACGCTGGCAGCGGCAAAGCCGGGAGCCATGGAGCAGAGAAGGAGGCCTTCGTTGCAGAAACAGCCCTGATGGATTTGTCCCGTGAGAAAGACGTGGAAGACCTTGCGGGTGGCTTTCAAAGGAAAGCCCGCTTTTCTGAAGAGGCAGAAGACTTAGGGCAGAGGTCCATTTTCAATCGCCCAGGCCTTGGCAACCTCGTCTTTAGAAGCAAAAAGGCAGAGATCATGCTTCCTGAGAAAGAGGAGACCGATTTCCAAATTCCCCAGGAGTTCTTTCAGTTCAACGAGCCGCTTGGCAGTTCGGACAGTGAGAACGACCCAGACGTCTCCTGGATGGAAGAAGCAATCGGGTGGGATGAGGACAAAGAGGAGGCTCCCCCCCTGGAAGTATTCCTGGCCTCCCAGAACCTCAGTGAATTTCTCCCCATCCTGATGAGAGAAAACATCGATTTGGAAACCCTGATGCTGTGTTCGGATGAAGATCTCCAGAGCATTCAGATACAGCTGGGGCCCCGCAAAAAAATTCTCCACGCGATCAGCAGAAGGAAGCTAGCCTTGGAAAAGCCAGGCGAGGCCAGGGATACCCAGTTATAAACCAAGAACGGGGCTTCTGGTCCACGGTTTTGCACCAGACTACTTCCCAAAAAGTTACATTTTCTGTAAAGGTTGAGGATGATGTGGTGGGAGCCAGAGATGACCAGTGTGTAAACACCGCACCCGCTCAGCTTGTTAAAAGCAGCATTAATGTTTAAGCCTCTATTAAAAAATATTTTAAAAATAAAGAACACCTTTCCATGTTAAACATGGCCTTCCCTGGCTTATTTGGTAAACCATGGCTAATGATTTGCTAAATCATGGTTTATTAAAACCACAATTGGGTTTCCAATCACGTTAAGCCACGATTGACAAGCCACAATGTCTGTAGAAAGTACACTCCACCACCATTTATCAGACCAGAACAAAAATAAATACTTGGGGAATGTAGTTTTTGAAATGTTAATTTTATTTTTGCTACAAAATATAGAAAAACAATTGACACCAATTCTCGACCAATATTGATTCACCCCAACATCTTTTCTATTTTTTTTTAAAGAAAGGCAGTAGAGTTTTGTTAGTGATTTTGAAAACCTATTCTAGTCAAATATTTTCTTAGGATTATTGGCATTCCTCTTTGTTCTATTTGGCAGTAATACAAAGCAGAGAGAAATGCAAACTCTTTGCATTAAATGCAAAATTTGAGTTAAAATGATTACAATTTAAGCAGAAATCATTCCTTAGATTGTAAATCTAGATTCTAAATTTAGAATCTTAGATTCTAAAATTATTATTTCAGGTCTCGGAGAAAATCTGAGATAAGGGTCATTGAGAGGCACGTAAATAGGTGAAGTTTTAGTTTCAGAAAATCTGAACATTTATCCCAATAAAAATTAAAACTACAGTTAATAAAGTGAATGATTTAGTAGAAATAAGACACAGCCTTCAAGAGATGAGAAAATCTACACTTGTCCTTAAGATGATGTAAAACCTTTGAATTAAAGTCACTATCCAAATACCTGGTAAGAACACTGATTCATGTTAGAATAATTAGATAAACCAGTGTTTCCAAAGCTCAGTGACGTTAAGATGTGTGGACTTTAACTCCCAGAATTCCCCAGCCAGCTGGCTAGGGAATTCTG